GTATTCTTCTGCATTCCTTGGTGGTTTGTTAATCCTTCTTTTATGCTCACCAATTCTGATGTGCAATTCCCTGACAGTTTGTTCTATATAAACCTTAGCGCAATCGTTGCAGTTAATTTTGTACACAGTCCCTAGTCCTTTCAACCGGCAAGGGATCTTTCAACTACACCAAAACTGAGCGTAGCGTTTTTCCCTCCTGAAAAGCTACTCAAATGTTGGCTACGTTCAACAATCTTTGAATAACCTCCGATGTTCCTGCTTTATATGGAATGACTGATGTGCAAATCCACTGGAGCCAATATCTTCCTTAGTTGACGCCTAATCAAACTCACTGGGTATCCTATTTCTTGAAGTTTGTTGGCAATCTCGATTTGAGCTGCCGTCCGATCGATCTCTTCTGTGCACAGCGCTCCAACTCGACGAAACATCAATGAGAAAATGCTGGCGTACACGGACTTTGGGTGGGTTGATGAATAGCTTAAGACGGTTCCTGTGTCTGTTGGTTTCTGGTAGATAGTCGCTTTCAATCTCCCACCAACCTTATGTGTTATACAGTCCAGAAAGGGTAATGTGCCCGAAGTGGACTCTATTTCCATGCTAAACTTAAAGTGTGGGTTTAAACTATTGGGATAGTCGTGGAAGCTGTTTACGTTATCTCGTTTGGTTACAACGAACGTGTCATCAACATAACGCCAAAAAGACTATCAAGTTTTAGACTAATCTTACGGATGATATCTAGTAGCAAGCTGACAAAATTCCCAATTTGGAAAGGACAACTTATGTTGCGGGATATAAGCAAATCAGTCTGCTCAATGTCAAACTGACAACTTACAAATGACTTGGATGGGAAAAGTTGCGATAGTTTCTTTGTTGGAGACATTGAGCGCAGCTAAAAGTGTAGGAAGAGGCACGGGGCGAAACTAAATAAGTAGTTGGAGAACCCGGTTGAAAAAAACAGCCGAAAACGGGAAGCTGTTGAATCATCAGCAAATTTGGAGTACACTGCCGAGGAGCAAATGTGCATAGGTGGACAAAACCAGCAGTAGACACAACAAGTACTGGAAACTAGGAAAATTCAGCGGTCACTGATGTGCTCTGAAGCAGCTTGATAAAAGGACCCGAATTTAAACAGGGATCCAAGACTCATGTTTTGGATCATCGTGGTGCGCCATTTGACCACAAACGTCATTAGCATGCTGATCTGGCCGAAAACTCGTGATCGATTGCAGATCGATAATAGTAAATCTGCCCCTAAGCTCATCGGAAACACCGACCACTTGTTGATAATAAATTAGGAATTATGAAATGAAGACGTTACATACTGAAACAAAACAACTCCATATTCGACTGACTGTATATTCGATTTTGTGTACTTGAGACAATCTTTAGCGTGCACGGGTATATTCACGTGAAATGATGAAATGTATTCATCTGCATTTGCAGACGATTCGACCGTGATCAACAGTCTAGCATTATGACGATGTCACAGTTCCTTCCTTCAGATTAGGTGGTCTATATACGATGACTATGCCTCTGGGTAACCGCTTTCAGTGGTCTCGGCTCTGACACCTATAGAGTGATTTCGTTGACAACAGCGGGTTTTGTAACACTAAAGCACAGACGTAAATTTCAACAGGAAACAAGGAAAGTGTCTAGTCACAAACCACTCTACAGAGTTTACTCTTATACAGCCGTCATTTTTCGCCGGTACGCACCGGCCGTCATCGTGAGATCTATCCGGAACCGCAAACAATTCGATTTAGAGATTAAAAAGTAGAATTAAAAACAGACTCAGAAATAGAATTATCCCTTGCACTACGAGTGGACTTCCCATCTGAGAATTTGTCACTCGAGGATCCAGTACTAGATCACATGATGTGGATCACATGTGGTACTATCTCTTGTCTAAATATGAGCTAATCGGGCTGTCTATCAGCTGCTCACTGCTCAACGTTTACAGGCTCGGCTGCCAGTCACGAAGCCGTGAATTCATGAGATTCACACTTAGAACGATCCTTGATAAAGATAAAACAAATGCACAACGCTCCTCGGCCTTTCAGCATGAAATTTCTCTAATCGCAGAAAGAAGTCTATATACAAACGTTTCAACTCCCCTAACATTGTAGTGTACGCTGTCAAATAGTTATATGAAACTGAGGAGGTCGATTCAGTCACCATCAGAAGTCAAAGAATACAGAGGAAACTTGGGACTTGTTGAGGATAACGGTGTTCTGAGTATACTCAGCAGATATGCCTTTCTTGTCCCATATCTAAAACCTTTAAGAGAACCAGGCCAAAAAATGGTATGAAAATGTATCCCGTAAATCCAGTCGTATAGTTCTACAAAAACGAAAAGGACATTAAAAGAAAGGCAAGTAGCAACGAAGGCAAAGCGAGCGCAAAGCAAGTACTCGGTGACCAACTTTCTTTTCCCCTATCCCTTCATCATCAATCGGATTAACTCTCTTCAGAGGAGCAACTTAGCCAGTTCAAGTTTTGCTGCTGTTAGGGAGCATTGAAAGCCGTTTCTGGTGGGAACCGAACCTCTGACAAGCAAGACGAGTATTTGTGACCATTACTCGATCGTCTCATGGTGAGCAGACATGGATTTCTTAGGTCTTGGCAGACAGACCTGCTCGAACTTTATGTGACGGGACAAGCTTATCTGACATCTCGTATGGCGACCCAGTATTTGGCCTGGCTTTGTGTCGCAAAATCGCCTCTTGAAATCCGGCAATTAGTCACGAGTCATCAAAGTATTCCATCACCAAATGCGTCGCAGTAAACGACGTAAACATATACGGAATATCTACATATTCCAATTTGACTGAACTCCATAATTATGGAGCAAAATCCTTGCAACTAACTACCGGCAACTAGACTTTCATCAGTTGAATACAATGGACGCGAAGACGTTTGCTTGCAGTCCTGTTTCTACGGAACATCATGGTGTAACGGCGATACTACTGATGGGGAGGCACGCGAGTAGTATGTTGTTCGTAGAATTTCGCTTTGCGTCTTTTGAAAAGGGGCGATCTGTTGCGGAATCTTAGAGCCACTTTATAACATTCACTTGGATTTGACTGACGAATCAGTGGAGTCAATGAATCCCCAGGAAGGTTCAAAAAGACGCGTTCGGGAGAAGATGGGTGTCCAGTTTTTGTAAATAAGATGCAAATGAGAGTTTTGCCTCCCTGTTCAGTGGTCTGTAACCGGTCATTTGGCATTTCCTAATAAGTAACTCCGCAGTGAATGCCTTCTTCCTTTCAACGGTATTCAACGAAAGTGTGTTTATGCAAAGTAAATCTACCTGTCAGAAATGAGTAAGATTTGAAACATATTACAAGCCAGCGGCAGAGCTGAATTTCCAGTAAGTCCATCATCAATCCCTAGTGGATGAGAGATTTGGCCTTAGCAGGCTTACAGCTAGCGAAAAGTTTCGATGGAAATTCGAGGACTAGGCCACCTAGTGAGCCCGAAAAGGAAAAAGAGAACCGTAAAGGATTGACAAAAATTCTCATCGATCTCATGGGCAGAATTACAACAGATGGTTTTGTTTATTTCCATGACTATCAGATAGACTGCTTTTCAGCAGCAGAAACTCTTACCAGAGGTCTTCAGCTACACTGTTACCCAGGATTTCAGTCTAATTCTTCATTCATATTCACGAGACTGCCATGTGACTGCCATCTTCATCATTAGGGTTGAGAATGGCACTTCATTGCTGAACGAAGATCGAATTTTGCGGAAAAAAGAGACGCTAGTAGGTGAGGGATGATGGATCTGACTCTAGCCGACCCCCAACATTCTTGAGTGCTTCAATATCCAAGCACTCAGTCAGACAGCTTGAGAAAAAAGCGAACGCCACTGATGCCGATTGGCCATCATTTCTTGCGATGCCTTCAGCTAAGTGCGAAAGGGGGTAACGGGGACCCCGTCCCAAAAGTGGACAGCACCGACGAAGTTCATTCACACATCCATTCCAAGTCACACACTGTCCATCTTGCAGTTTGTACCATTACGAAGTAGAACAGCAGGCCTCTCGGAAGGTGAGGCTATGGCATGCACCGCAGCCGGTGATGCTGAGTATTCTGCTTGCGTGAAACACCTGCTGCACAAGCCAAAGTGATTCATTGCCGTCATTCAACACCAGAAACCCTTCGAGGGCGTGGATGGTCAACAACATAGACACTTCACATTGTCTACGTGTAGAGGCCGTGCTCACTCTAGTCTGGGGTACACGCGACCCGTGGTGATATACCTTTTTGACAATAAAACTGATGCAAATGAGCAAACGTGATTCCAATCTTTGAGCCTCTTTATTCGGAGCCAAGTTATTCAGGAGTACCCATAGCTTCCAGGGCTTCTCCTTGGATCAAAAGGGAGAATCCATGTTCCGAAGCATGACGTTGCACTTTGTAAATGCAAGGCGCATGCTAACTGATGGTACTATGATTATAAGCTTAGTTAAACTGTAGTTGTACAATTGAGTCCGGAAATTTTATCCGGCCAATGACTCATCGAGTTCAACCAAGCTTGTAACGCTATTATCAGTTCGAGTTCATTCTCTTTACACTTGCAAGATTGCTCATAGTAAACCCGGATGCCAGAGTGTGACATTTTCATCTTAGGATCGATAGATTAAGACGATCACGTGGTCTGAACCTGAAGAGCATCCATGTTCGTTGATCTCTGCTGAGGAAATCCTGCATTCAAGCAAACCTATTTGGTCACCTGAGCACACTTATGTGAACTGTTTCTTAGTAGTTACAGACAATATGCGCTATGTGGAAAAAGTCACGTGTATTTCTTTTTTAAAGTCTTTTTGACCTAAAATCTTCAAAATAGACTGCCCAAGGTGATTATGCTCACGCACTACGAGGGATCGTTCCAAAATTAGTACACAAATGAGCGGATTTCAGACTGTCCTTTTTTTCTCCACTGTTTGTCACACATTTTATTGAAAAAATACGTGCACCAGCGATACAAACACTCGTTAATCCCAGAAATCTTTGTTCTTTGCTGACTAAATAAGGGTTCACTTCGGTTCAGCTGGTCAATCAATACAAACGTACGTTTGAAATTAAGTGTGTCAGCTAGCATAAACTTAATAAAAGATACCACAGGGATGAAGAACACTCTCTATGTCCAAACACGTCAGATGCAGGACATTCTGCTCATTGAAGTCTTTGATTTGCTTTCCCAGACGCGAGGCATCATCCTTTGAATGTATTTTCTCAACGAACTGGCCAATAATAGATTGAGAACTGTTTTCGATTTGTTTGTAATCCACCTGCATTCATACACCAATATTTCGTCTTCAAGCTTCCGCAGCGTGAGTTAAATATGGTTATTGAGAATTGCCGCCACTGTTGAACATTGGATTTTTTAAACGATTATGTCCTTAAGGCTTGTTCTAGGAGGACCGTGCCTTAAGGATGTTACAAGAACTGGTTTTATCGTTGTGAAATACTGGATACTCACGACTTGGGGTTCATATTTCCAGTGGAACCAAGAGTTCACTTCCGTCGCAGTACGTCAAGGACCCGATCGGGGCAGTCGTTGTTTTTTCTCATAGACTTTTAGTCAAAGGCATCTCAGATGTTATTATCTTTTTTGAATGTGGTAGCATCCTTGGGTTTTTAAAGGCCATTTTCGGAAACAGCCTTGGCTTGGCTTGGTGAACTTAGGCTTCCGCAGGGCTGCTTGCATCTTGAACTTTGGATGTTTCAGCCAGGTTTGAGAACTTGACAATGACAAACTGATTTTCGGATATCTTTAAACTCCCGATAAACCCTTGCAGTTCTACCAACACGGATGAGAATGCCCTTCACGAAGGCATGAAAGATGGCTATGCCAACAGTGCATTTCGATATGTCTTCATACTCGGTGGCGATGAATTTTTTTATGCTCGGAAGTGACGCTTCCGTAGTCATTGAAAACGCTGACGGCTCCTGTCACCATGTAGATGAGTGGTGAATTGTTCGAAGGCATTTTGGTCTTGATATGGACTTCATCCTTTCGAAAAACCTGGAGCTGAGACGGAGGCATTCCTTCTCCTTTGTAGGACGATCACCGCAAACGAAGATGGACTTGGTTAGAGCAATTTCAATTTTGAGATCCTTCGTTTGTTAGGGGGCGTGATTGCAAACTTAGAGGCAGTCTAGACAACATCGTATTGCGATACTTCGAGTATGGTACCAATTGAAACATGATGTGGCCCGGTGTAACAAATTCGTTCAAAACAGACCGTCATAAACGAGAAACTCAGCCGGATTCAATTCCTTCTTGATGTGCTTGTTGGTTCTTTTATCCAACTTAAAAAATGCAGAGATACAAGCTTCTGGGTTAGGTTTAGGAAAGTCTGATTTGTTTGTCAAGAACGATGCTCGGAACAGGACTGACCTAGCGAAAAACCCACTTTAAGGAATATTGGAAAGCATGAGAATGTGTTCGAATATTGGATGATCGCCATTCTAAAGAGTATCCGACTTGGGAACTGACATACTTGTGAGCATCCTTGTCTGTTTTGAGGTGTCCGCAGAATTAGCGAATATACACTCATCTGAAAACTAATTTGGTTCTTTCGAGAGACTCACCTGGAACCCAGCTGAATCTCTCGTTTTTATGATCTTCTCAGGCAACTGAATGGGCTGCACCACGCCGTCTCATGTTTCAGTCGCTACGATATTTGAAATATCGCGATAGATGTATATTTGTAATCTACTACTCATAAGGTTGCTGAAAATCCATCGACAGCCCACGGCCGGTTTCGCCTGGTGCAGCACATTCAGTTGCCTGAGAAGATCATAAAACCGAGAGATTCAGCTGGGTTCCAGGTGAGTCTCTCGAAAGAACCAAATTAGTTTGCAGATGAGTGTATATTCGCTAATTTCGTGCAATTTGGTTTCAAGTAGAACATAAGGTTGGCGGAAACCCGGGGACTGCGCCTACCTGATGAGCCCCAAGAAACGACGAAACCGGTCGTGGGCTGTCGATGGATTTTTCAGCAACCTTGTGAGTAGTTTCCTTTTCACGTATTCCTACATGGTCGGATGAAGCGAGTGATGAAGAAAAAACACTTCGCATTACGTACTACTGACTACATAAAGGTTACCACAGCTGATACCGACAACGTATAAAATAACCTAATAAAATCTATGAGGAATGATTGAAGGACGAAGCTAGAAGAAAACCTCAAAGTACTGTCTGCTTCCGAACACGGCGAGATTTTTTCGACTATACGGCTGATGCAAACATAGTGAGAAAACGTTAGTGGAAAACGGGTTTGAACGTAAAAATCCAACTTGATTTGTGTAAAACACTGATAGCTGAATCTACTGTATGCCCATCAATTGTTGAATAGCTTGGCTGATTTCAAATTCCTTTCCCTGGACTTTAAGCAGATCAAGCTAACTCCTTCACTCATTTGCCCCTCCGCACTGGCCATTCTCCTTACCACAAGCGCCGCCTTATCCGACGACTCTGGTACCCTGGCATACGTAAAGTTGTCGCTGACCATTTGCCTGTACATGTTGGTAACCTGAAAGCTAGACTTGATCTGAAGTATTCTGTCGTGATTTCTACCAATCAGAATACCGACAATGACCTTGAAAGAAACGAGCCAACATCCCCTTTGATGTTGTCTGGTATGCGGACGTTGACACTTCACTGTACGGGTCAGTGACTTGCGCGCAAATTGAGGCCTAGAACGTAGGTTTTGTTTAACAATTTTGCTCACTTTGTGTATGTAGTGCCGTAGGGGATTCAAGCTCGGTTTCTCCCTGTGGTATTCGGGATTTTCAAACACACGCGTGACTCAGAGTTCTGTATCGAGAACCTCAACACCGATGAATGATTATTCGCATAAAACCAATACCGCTGAAAGTCAACCTGGAGCCATGGGAACAGAAAGTCTATGTTTCGAGACCTCAGAGCATTCAAAGCTGTTTTAAAATGATCCAGGATGCAGAAAAGGACAAAGAATCTATGAATATTTCTGAACTCAAGTTTAGGAGATCGATAAAAATACCTTGGCGTTAGAGGTAAATGCATTTCGCTTCACATCGTCTCCCCCAGGTGTCTTGCCACTATATGACCTCAAAAGGTGACGCACAGTTAGGCAAGCCGGTCAATGATCTGATTTACAATAGCGGATCGTACAGTATGATGGACATATATATTGAAATACATATAACAGAACAAGTTACCTGGCTCGACAATTACGTAAGAGTTTCGGTGATAGAGTTGGGTAGAACAAAGTACCAGAGGTATTTGTGATCCCACTGGGAATTTTTATACACACAGCAATATTGAACGGCCCACTTGCATTCTGAACGAATAATACAATTCAAAAAAGCCATCTAGCTACAACATATATCCAATTTGTTTTTTTACATAAGATGCCAATCACAGACTCTAATTTAACAAGGTTGTAACCCACCTCGTAATCACTCCGACATGAGTAATGCATCGGTGACAAGATGAATGGTAGCTTATGAGAATTTATCGATCGATTGAAGCCAAGCATATAAGAGATACCTTGATCGGATTTCGCTTGACACAGTTGGTGCTGTGAAGTTGGAAATAGTGCGGTAGTAGCCAGCATTGATTTCGGTGGAACAGACATATTTACGTTTACTGAGAGACTGACGCACGCGCTGGTGGAGTGTAGCTTTTTTGGTGAGTAAATCAATGGGATAAGTCGCTGGAAGGTGATCCACAAGTAGAAGCCGGCTAATGAACAAGCCTGTGCAATTCATCCCGTGGCTTTGCGTTACTGAAATTTCGCGCATACTATTCACGCTCCAACGGATATCCTCGAGTGTAGGAATCGTTTTGGGAGCAGAACAGAGGCATTCTGATTTCAAAGACTCTTAAAAATAATTCCACTAGAGAGTTGGTGGTATAACCGAACTTAATTCCCACTGTCGATGCATCATCAACCTATGACTCGGCAAAGTAATCCGAAAAACTTGAGAAACCTAGTGTGAAATTTTGATTAGATTAAGAAAGATAAGTCAAGTTGAGAACATTGTAAACGATGTAACGGGGATGTTCAATCGATAGGTGAAAAAAACGTGATCAGTTTGAACAGCTAACGAAAGTGGGCTTCGCAGTTGGTACACTATGTGTGTTCTTCAAGAAGCTGTTGAAAATAGGTCCCAAGAAAACACAGGCAATCCTGACCATCGATAGGCATTACAGAAAGTAGCTTTTGAGTTCGTACGTACTCACGATCAGCTGATCACCCCAGACAGCAAACGAAATGGTAGTGGTTAGGTTGAATAAGCTAAAGAGCGTACATTTGCTGTGATGTTCTTGGTGAGCAATTGATGCTCTGAAGAGTGATTAAGTGAGCGATAACACGTTCCAGGCTGATAGGCAAAAAATTAATCGACAGGCTTGGTCGCTTTCAACCACGACGAGGAGCAATGCATACAAAGTGAGCAGAAAAAATTCCTGTGGAAAAAGGGGACTCATGAAATGCGGCACATCCCAAATCACTGGGTTTTTATGAAGGCCCAGCAATGAAATAAAAACAACTACATTGTGTTTCGCGTAGAGCGTTTAAACAGGAACGGCCATGTTGCGTTTTTTTGGAATTCAACAAAACAACACATGCCTGTCAACAGTCAGCTTCTCCGAATGGAGAAGTCATCGGTTCTATCCCCTTACCACGATAACGTAACGATATAGTTTGATCTCCATTAAATGATAAGGTGTGTTGTGGAAAACACGTCGAAAACAGGTTCCTGGGATGGACTAAATTTCATTTGGTCGCTACTTCTCTGATATTTGTTTAATCATCTAGTATGTGCTGTTACATACGGTTAACTTTCACAGTGTTGCGAATCAGAAGAAGAGTTTACTCTCCGATAACGTCATAATGAACGGCTGAGCATCACTTTAGAGGAAGGTGCCATAATCTGGAATGATCCGGTGTCCGCTGCGAAGTTCAAACAGCCAAAATCTAGCACAGTACGTCAGAACATCTAGAAACAAGAAGTGGATTGTAAATCAAAACAGTCTCGATGCTGGAATCGACTAGGCATCACGTACGTTTGAGCCCCTAACTACGCGCAAGACTAATGAAGGCTATCTTAGTTACGAAAGTACAAAAATCCCACAATATTCATTTTGGTTACAGTCATTCTCACTTCGCCTAGCCATCTCATGTATTGCCTCCAACTTCCAGAATATTCGGCCAATGGGAGTGCGGGTAGCCAAATGAGCGATAAATAAATCCAAGATCCACTTGTATGGGGTTTAGAAGACGGAATATATATCCCAAAGTGTCACAGTCAACTTGCTTAACAGTTGAACAATATTAAACCAAGTTCAGTAATGTGGTGGAGGATATGTGTGAACAGATCAGCAAAATCATAGCCGTATATGCTGAGTGTAAACAAAGCAAGCCAAAACGGCACCAGAAATTCGCTGTATCAGAAACAACTTGAGGGCCCATTTGACAGTCTACTGTGATTTAGAAAGCCAGCCAACTGGTTTACCTAGAAATTTTGACAACGAGGCAAGACAAAAGTCACCGTTTGAGACCTGTCTGTAAAGATTGTTAAAACGAACCCTAGAACGTTTCCCGCTGCGTTTCCAATCCAACAGTATAGTTTCGACTCAAACAACTCATTTCCCAAGAACTAACATCTTTTCGTTAACGTGTAGAGGCTCACTATATTTGACCTCGAAAGCGCATATTCTGGAAAAAACAGTTGTAAACCAGAGCACGTGCTTAACGTTTGCCCAAAACTCTCAACCGCTCCTTGAACCGATTTGATCTTGGTACCCTCGCATAAACTAAATAGCAGTCCCATCAATGTGTTACTGAAAATTTTGGAACAACTTAGGAGTGCAGACTCTAACCGTGAAAGTTTCCATGACACAACAGTCTAGAGCAACAAAATGTGTGCAGGATCTTGAAGAAAAAGAATCACTTGAATTTCTAACGTGATGCTCAGAATGCCAGCATTAGAAAGCAACAAGTAAATTAAGCGAAGGTCTTTGTAACTTTCTTCCAAACGTTTTCGTCAGAATGTCCTTCATCAATAAATCTCAAGTCCGCCGCCCCTAACCGTTTGTAGATGATCACTTTTCTCAGCGCTCCGTTGACAGTTTAAGTACTGCCTGATAAGCAAAACGTTTTCAATTCGAGGTCTTGTGTTCAACAGACCATACTCCGTGTACACACGAGCCTAACAGGTCAAACAGAACGCGAACGTCTAACACTAACGATCGTTTGTTTCACCTGTCGGTCTACGGTACATCACTCGCTTGTGCATTGGTCGCTACAGCATCAACTCAATATCGCAGTAAGTACGAGAAATGTGTTGGAACATTGGTAGCACGGATGTATCCATTGACAATTGATCACGTGGCTGTTGATCAGTCCACTGAGCTTGCATGTGACTTGCAGACATTTCGTCAGCATTCGAAGAAACGCCAGCGGTGCACTGAACGGGTCTCCACGAATGACGACGAAACGTCTGCAAATCAGTTGCCAATCATGGTGAACAGATCAATAGCCACCTGACTAGCTACAAGTCTGAGAAATATCGCCTACTCTAATACATCACCATATGCTCTCTATCAGCTGAAGTTGGGTGCCTGTATACTCACTCAACGGCATGAGCACTGTCATGTGGGTTGATCCTCGAAGCCCCAGAAAGGAGTCGTTTAGCCCGTGTCCATCTGAAGCGGCCAAGCAAGATTTCGCATTTGACTTACTTACAAAGATATCGGTAGCTAAATAATGACGCTATATTTTCAGGATGTTTGCCATCATGCTGAGAGCAGCCCCAGTGATCTCAGCGTAGGACTGGATTACGTTCAACAGTTGGCGGTGTTCGTTTAGCTACTTGAAACTAAATTGCACGAAATTCGCGAATATACACTCATTTGCAAACTAATTTGGTTTTTCGAGAGACTCACCTACACTCAGCACATTCTATTGCCTGAGAACATCACAAACGAGAGATTCAGCTGGGTTTCAGATGAGTCTATCGAGAAACCAAATTAGTCTGCAAATGAGTGTATATTCGCTAAAGTCTACATCTTTCCATACGTGTCTTTACACATACGGTGTCGCGTTTTATTGATACGGCTCAGAATTTCACAATTTTTTGCTCGTGTTTCTGCGCGCCACTCCACTGAGCTTCCCAGAATATGCCCGGTTTTTATATAGACATCGTAAAATCAGGTTAGATTCTGTTCATCTCCAAACAGGACAGCGTCACCATTAACTCACTTCTAATCCAGTTTACCTCTTCATGGACTTTTGTGTCACTCAAGTCACGCCCAATATTCCAAACTCCTATCCAGTTACCAGCTTTCTGTCGTTTCACACGAACCGATGCTTCAAACTGTGCCCATCAACACCCACCTTCAGACGTGTGAAGTAATTCCGTCGTATTTCTGTACAGCACCTGTCATCAGGATCTTGTGGCACTGTTTCGTAATTTTGTTCAGCGAGCAGTTGTGTCGAATTCGTCTACTGAAGATCTTACATGGTCTGTTTGATAAGACGCGAATCTAGCCAGCTGGGCACCAGCCCCATTCATCAGCTCTCGACTAACTTGATGCGGCAGCCACTAGTAAAATCAATGAGCTCTTACGACAGATACACCTATTTGCAAATCAATTTGGCTTTCATAAGAGACTCAAGCGAATCCCTCGTGTATATATATGCTGCACAAAGGTTGCTTCATGTTTCACTTGGTAAAATATTCGAGATATCGCGGCATATTTTTGCAATCGGTCCGATTCGGGTTCAAGTAGAACGGTTCAAGTGGCGGAAACTCGATAAAATATTCGAGATATCGCGGCATATTTTTGCAATCGGTCCGATTCGGGTTCAAGTAGAACGGTTCAAGTAGACGGAAACTCGAGGAATACGCCTACTTGATGAGCCCCAAGACAAGCAAAACCGGTCTTGGGCTGTCGGAAAGTTTTTAGCAATTAGTTCTTTTTTTTCTGATATCGGCCAGAAAGTTTTGGCCTAGCGAACCTGTCCCGCATCCAACCCATCGGCAATTCCAACTTTTTTCGAATTAAGCCTAAATGCCCTGGAATGATGTCGCTGAATGAATGATCCTGCCCAGTGTTTATTGGTCCAAACCTAATATCCAGTCACCCAAGCAAGGGCTCAATGTGTATGGCGGTTGACACAGTTCCGTTTAAGGGGGCTGCAAATTAACCTTCGAAAAGAAAAAGTAAAGCATCTAAGTGACAGCTGGTTGAACCAGAAAAACAGCCTCCACTTGGAAACACCAAACCAGCCTACAAACTTTTGACCACCCGACGCTCACTTGCTAGCCACCGCGTTGAAGGTCACTGCCGTTAGATGAGTGCACGGCGTGTGTGAATTCAGGTGGATTTGTATGCTGAAATACGTGGTCGAATCTGACTACTGGTGAATAAATGGAATTTTCATTAAAGCTTGGAAGAATTAGTACCATTCATCGACAGACGAATTCCAATCAAATCTAGACGCTATAGGAAACCGAAAGTAGCCGACATGAAGGTATAACCTATCTCATTCGGGTGGAAAACGTGTGCTCATCAATCCCCAATCAATCAATCATCAGTTACAGGTGATGAAAATCCGATCAACCTCATTCGTCCGTCACATACAAACGAGAGCGGAAAGGTCATAAGTTTTCAAAACCTTTCCCAGTTGCCTGAAGAGTAAGATTATTAAGCTGCGGAAAATATGCTCAAATTATTCACCAGTGCGTTTTCACACTCGCCTGTCACTCGGTCAATATCCAAAGTGATTTTAATGAACCACTGATATTCCAGTAAATGTTTCTAATCAAAGACTGTTGATTTTCGCGTCAAATCGGTTTTTTAAATGAGAAAATCAGGGATCGGAAAGTTTTTAGCAATTAGTTCTTTTTTTTCTGATATCGGCCAGAAAGTTTTGGCCTAGCGAACCTGTCCCGCATCCAACCCATCGGCAATTCCAACTTTTTTCGAATTAAGCCTAAATGCCCTGGAATGATGTCGCTGAATGAATGATCCTGCCCAGTGTTTATTGGTCCAAACCTAATATCCAGTCACCCAAGCAAGGGCTCAATGTGTATGGCGGTTGACACAGTTCCGTTTAAGGGGGCTGCAAATTAACCTTCGAAAAGAAAAAGTAAAGCATCTAAGTGACAGCTGGTTGAACCAGAAAAACAGCCTCCACTTGGAAACACCAAACCAGCCTACAAACTTTTGACCACCCGACGCTCACTTGCTAGCCACCGCGTTGAAGGTCACTGCCGTTAGATGAGTGCACGGCGTGTGTGAATTCAGGTGGATTTGTATGCTGAAATACGTGGTCGAATCTGACTACTGGTGAATAAATGGAATTTTCATTAAAGCTTGGAAGAATTAGTACCATTCATCGACAGACGAATTCCAATCAAATCTAGACGCTATAGGAAACCGAAAGTAGCCGACATGAAGGTATAACCTATCTCATTCGGGTGGAAAACGTGTGCTCATCAATCCCCAATCAATCAATCATCAGTTACAGGTGATGAAAATCCGATCAACCTCATTCGTCCGTCACATACAAACGAGAGCGGAAAGGTCATAAGTTTTCAAAACCTTTCCCAGTTGCCTGAAGAGTAAGATTATTAAGCTGCGGAAAATATGCTCAAATTATTCACCAGTGCGTTTTCACACTCGCCTGTCACTCGGTCAATATCTAAAGTGATTTTAATGAACCACTGATATTCCAGTAAATGTTTCTAATCAAAGACTGTTGATTTTCGCGTCAAATCGGTTTTTTAAATGAGAAAATCAGGGATAACTCGGTGCTCTGCACTAACCCAGGCGACCAAACACCTCATCCGAGAGCTCCCACCACTGACTAGCAGCTCCGACATATGCGACAATCCTCAGGTATGCTCCGTTTCTGCCGAACACCGTCGCATCCACGTAATTTAGTGTCCCAACGCTCACCGCTCACATCGGAAACAATCTCCGTTCCGTCCTCGACTAATGTGTTTGAACTCCACACAGCACACTGAAAAGAAGCGCGAAATCTGTTAATCAAACGATTCTCACTGAGCCATTTTGAGAGACACATGCACGGTCATCAAATTTCTCACTACCTGGATTGCAGTCACAGAAGAGCCGATGCAAGCGATACAAGCAGCACACTTGTGAGTCAGAATCAGGTATGTTGTCGGATTGGGTGAACAATAAAACCGCATGACTTAATGCAGTGGCATGTGTGGAGGCATGAGGCACGCGGAACGAACACCATTGTATTCTGCGACAGCTTGTGAACTGTCAAGTCATCTAGAATATTCCTAGTTTCAATGAACATATAGATGCATTTTTATATTTATAGGCCCAACGTGTGTATAGGGAAACATTTTTTCACAAAGTACATCTACTCTCAATTCTACGTGATTCATCAAATTTACTCTTCACTATTGATTATTGATGTCAAACAATCTGGGGCTACCTCATCGCTTCGTTTTTCACTTTTTTCTTCGATTTTACGTGTAAGGCAGATGAAGAAGTACTGAAAAGCTTAGTTTCGCTCTTCAATGAAAATATCCTAAATGACTTGACAGTTCTCAAGCTATCATTGAATAGAATGGTGTTCGTTCCACATGAGGTTTCTGCTAAACGAACCTCACGCATCCACACATGCCACTGCATTAAGTCATGCGGTTTTATTGTTCACCCAATCCGACAACATACCTGATTCTGACTCACAAGTGTGCTTCTTGTATCGCTTGCATCAGCTCTTCTGTGAATGCAATCCAGATAATGAGAAATTTAATGACCGTGCATGTGTCTCTCAAAATGGCTCAGTGAGAATCGTTTGATTAACAGATTTCGCGCTTCTTTTCAGTGTGCTGTGTGGAGTTCAAACACATTAGTCGAGGACGGAACGGAGATTGTTTCCGATGTGAGCGGTGAGCGTTGGGACACTAAATTACGTGGATGCGACGGTGTTCGGCAGAAACGGAGCATACCTGAGGATTGTCGCATATGTCGGAGCTGCTAGTCAGTGGTGGGAGCTCTCGGATGAGGTGTTTGGTCGCCTGGGTTAGTGCAGAGCACCGAGTTCTCCCTGATTTTTCATATTTAAAAACCGACTCGACGCGAGAATCGGTAATTTTTGATTTGGAACATTTGCTGAGATATCACTGGTTTATCCAATCACGCTTGTTTTGTTTGCGTGAATACTGTTATCTGTTTACCCAACCAATTGGAGGACCGTATATACTCTTAAGTACATTGCACTCACCTCATCCAGACAGTATGGTATCAGCGGTTTGGACCCGCCTGTTAGAGGCACTGCGCAACGCTCGCCCCCCTAACTTCGTATTCGAATTCCGCCTAGATACGTCCAGTCCGTTAAATGCTACCATCTTGTTCAATATCATGGCAAGGAGTTCGATTAGACTGAATTTGTCTTCCGGATTTACGGGATAAACTATATTATTGAAGTTGTTCCAACTGTCCCCTAACGTTTTGTTTATATGAAAGCTTCACGTAGTTCCACAGTAGTCCTCAATCAAACGTCTTCCGTGAGCTCGCGGCATGCGAGGTTTAGGTTTCAGGTACCTCCACTGGACAAAAGATTGAGGCCCAATGAGTTAGCTGGTCACCTAAATGACCCATATAGACTAAACACCGACTCCCGGGCTGTTCACCCAAATATTCACGAAAAGCTCGGGCCTGATATATGTTGAAACGATTACGGCCGCTGGACGAAGCCAAATATAATGGGAATCAGTACGAAAGTACCGCCCTTCAATCGTGTTACCTGAGAAACTGAAAGGCCCAAAGATCTTCCTTACGTTGAGTCCCACCAAAACTCAACATAATCACTGTGTTGGACTCGGAAGGCGTTGTACCTGCTTGGATTAATTCCAGCCCAAAAATGGGGCTTGGATAAATTGGCATATCACTAAAACATTTTTTCTATGTCCGGTCATATCCGTACAATTCAAACCCAATTATAAAATCGCGCTTTCCCTGATTCCCACCCGGACTTCTCGGGTAACCGAATAAACTGAGAATTCATCTCTCGATATTCGAGGTCTGCTTCAGACGTTAGGAATTCACACCATTCTCAGCACTACCGGTCTGATATTAACAAGAGACCGGTGTTCAGTACGTCTAACTGCCACTTAGCCGCCGTATTGTATCCTTACTCAGGACAATGCTCAAGTGTTGGTCAGTTTCTCACTGGCATTGAATCAGCACAAGCGATTGGGAGCATCAAATGTACCTGTTTCTCTTCCGTTGCTGTGGTAGTGGACAGGGAGCCACAACGGTCGCGTAAAACGATGCACTAACGTATCGATCGCCCCACATGCTTATATGGATGTCCAATCAGCCTCAAGATATCTGAGTCTCATTCTGGTCCGTTTTGGCCTTGGTGAGTGAGCCATATCTCGTGTCAGCCGATTGAGTCGGGTGATGAAAGACACACGTAAAAGTGGATTTTGCTCTGAATGCAAATGCGTGCACGTTTTGGTCAACGGAACGCACCTGTTGAATGTTCCAGCAACAGAGAGAAACGCTCTGGTCCTTTGGAAACGCGCATTGTGCAGCAAATGGATGGTACGCACTAACCGATTTGTGTGGATTGAAGAGCTCTTTCAAGTCGTATTCTGCGCTTTGAAAAGCCATCACCCGATCAGTGGGTCTACGAGAATACAAGACATGGACAACCATGTTCTGGCTATTTGAACCTTTTTTTGACTTAGTGATGGCACCGTTCAGCACTTGATGCAGCCTGCAGTCGGACGACCTTGAAGACAATGTGATCATCAATACGAACATGTCTGCTAACTGTGCCATGAAGCCTATATTTAGAACCTTAGGTTAGGCAATATGTTTAGCAGAGTACATGACTAGTAAATGGTCTGAATCTGCCTGCAGCTTTCGAATAGCTAGCAGTAAGTAAAATAGCTAGTCCTGTCGATTTTCAGTCTTGATTACTATATTAAGCAAGCCACAACATGTCAAGTTCAACTTCAGTTCCCATAGCTGGTTTTGAAGCCCTGAACCGTAGTAAATGAAAATAATTGCTTGCAGTTTGAATCTCCTAAAGTGCTCCTCACTGCCTCCAATCGATATTCTGCTGAAATGCGATGGCTGGTTTACCAGGCGTTTGAAAATGGGAGTGTGGTAGTAATTGGAACGACAAACAGTAAGCATTTTGGGATTTTGATCTCAGTTCCCAGTAGGTCACAAGGTCAGGAAATACCTATTCCGTAATTCTGAGTGTCGTTGCGTATAGACAACTTTCTTTGAAGATAACGTCGAAATTATACTTCTATTGATATGTGGTCTCCTCTTCTCTGATCACGCTCATACCATTCATGTCAGTGTTTGCTTGTTTCGACCTGAAGAGCCTGTTTACTCTTGAATCATGTCACATTTGTCCTGAGATGAGAAACACACAGCTACAGGGTACTGTCTGGCTTCACTACGGATGTGCACTAGCTTGTGGTCTCTGTAGGTGAGCGGAGGATTTCACTGTGTACCTGAAGGGATTACCTATCCTGAACTCATTAAAGTGCTCAGGGCCATGTTACGAGTCTTTCGTTGCATAGAGTAACAAGTGAATACATGTTTGAACAAATAGTTTCATCCAAAAATGTGGGTAAGGAGATCAAAGATGGCTAGTGTATCAATGTATCATTAAAAAAATCTGACAATGGTTAGAATGCTCTCATTTCAAGTCAGCTGATTCCGCTCTTCAACAAATAAGTGCCATTTCAGCGCAAATCGATTAGTGAAGAAGTTAGATTCGGGCGAAAATACCATGCGCTTTGCTACTGAGTAGAACATTCGTAGCTCTAGATGTGTTGATGATGGTTGAATTATATCCTGAGCGGAGAAACTAGATAAAAAAGCCTCATCACAGACCGGGGCTGTCATAATTGGTGGCTTTTGTGAGAGTCTGTAATAGACGAAGCTGATCCATCGACTACAGTACGACGAAGTACTTCGTGTTTTTGCTTTTAGACGATTTAGGAGCCTTGATTGTCCACGACCAGTTTTCTGGCAAGTGGTTCTATAAGATGCGTGGGACAGCGAACCGCGTAGCGCGACTTTTGTGCCTTCGTTGCCATGGCAACAGCAACGCAATAGAAACAGGTATTTTGATGGCCTCAATCACTTATGTTGAATCAAGCCAGTGGGATACAGACCATCGCTTGAGGGAGTTCCTGCGAATTGTGAAAGTACGTCCCAAACGCATCGGGGAGCAATTCTTTCCAAAAAAATGCTTGCACTGATACGGTTATGCCGAGGTTGTTTTGAAGACATTACAGCAAGTTGTCGACTCAACTTTGACTTGGAAGTTGGTGAGGTAGCTGAAAGAATGACCCTAGCTAATGGTTGTTGTTCTAATTTAAGTTATACTTACAAAGAAATGAGGTTTAGACATTCGTAGTTCTAGGAATGATCGTAGAATACTGTCCTGGTTAAGCAAAGACAACGAAGGATTCGACTGTGAACAGAACCCGCAGTCAGTACTTTCTTATGACATTGAGGCTCAAACACGTTTGCCTACACTGTGGAAGCTCAAAATACTTCCACACACTATTACCAATAGTACTATTCTGAAAGGCCATCCAACATTTTGTGGATTACTCGAGTTTTTATTTTCTCCCATGGGATAAAAGGAGCAACAAGTAGAACATAAGGTTGATGGAAACTCGGGGACTGCGCCTACCTAATGAGCCCCAAGAAGGGCGAAACCAGTCGTGGGCTGTCGAAGAGTTCTCAACAACCTCGTGAGTAGTTTCTTTTATGAAATAGATCAACAAACTACTTCGTCTTTTTTGCTTCAGACATAATATTGATTACGTTAGTTCTCGAGATACAGATGAATGAACTAAATCATATCTGTATTTCTTCTTTGGGAGGTAAATTTTTCATTGAAACGTTTCAAGTTCAATGCAACCTGTCGAATTTGGTTTTAGAGTCACTATGGTCATACTTATAGGCTAGTTTGATGTGAAAAGGCTGGTGATTTTTTTCGCCTCTCTCAATAGCACGGGTTCAATAAAGTCAAGATTGGGCTTTTCAGCGAAATATAGTTTACTTGTTGACAAAGCTCAGGAGTTTCAAGCCGAATTAGTCTCGGATAGCGCTAAAAAGTCTAAGCGCCGTGCGGTGTGTGATTGATTGTACACTTGTCTGTGAAAATCCTTGAGAAAGGTTGCCCACGGCAACTGAAACGTCAGATTATGACATCTGTGTGTTTTGACTTTAAAATTTCCTAAAAAAAATTTCCGAAATTTCCATAAAACTTTCAAGCACATGCGCACGGAGAACTCAAGACAGGTATGATGCAGATTCACGCCACTTCAAAAGTAAAAGGATCACCTTCTCCATATGAGCCATGACTGAATGACTGGAGCACCTACCATACGGTGATAACGGTGAAAGAAGGCATTCGTTGCGGAGCTACTTAGCAGGAAATGCCAAGTGACCGGTTACAGACCACTGAACAGGGAAGCGAAAACCTAATTTACATCTTATTCACAAAAACTGGACACCCATCTTCTCATGAACGCGTCTTTTTGAACTTTCCCGGAGATTCATTGACTCCACTCATTTGTCGGTGAAATCCAAGCAAATGTTACAAAGTGACTCCACGAATTCCGCAACAGATCTCCCCTTTTCAAAAGACGCAAAGCGAAATTCTACGAACAACACATACTACTCGCGTGCCTCCCCATCAGTAGTATCACCGTCACACCGGTATCGTACATAATATCTAAAGATGTCCAACATTCTATTGAAAAAAGGCTTGCCCCAGATAACACACAAGTACTACATAGGGTAGCATAAAAGGTCCGAAACAAAACATCTCCTTTGGTTTCGCCAAAGTTTTCAAGGAAAGTGATAGCCAGTCTCAATACTGTTTACCTGCATGCAATGAAATAAACGGTGCGACACGGCAGACTACTTTTTTTATTCACAAGCATATTAATCGTATTGACCTCAGCATAACGACCACGTCACTTCTTCGTTCACCATCATCATCATCATCTTTATCAGCTGCAAGTACCGCGTATTTTTCGCACAGGAGTTGTAGCTGCCACAGTTTCGTACACCAATGATTTGGGGAGGTATCTGGGTAGGTATCTGCGCATTGGAAGCGGGAGCTGATTAATTGGTGCGTTGATACAGGGCTGTCAGTGGACCGCTATGCATTAAAGGCCATAGCATGGATGCACGTGCGCCATTGAGGACGCGACAATGCCTCTAACCATTGATGTGGCCCGTCTCGGTGTTCCCATCCAGGAAGAGGGCAATGACCAGTGCAGCTGATTTTTCTCGTACTGGCTTTCATGCTTCGCTGCTAAGTAATCGTTTGACCGCCTCTGGCTCTCTTCCACCCTTCACATGGTTGGGCGAAAAGAGCCATTCGAGGAATTCGGTCGACTGGCATACGCAGCACGTGGCCAAGCCAGCGCAACCTGTGCAGTGTGATCAGTTCATCTATCGAGGGTGAGTTATTTCTCCCGAATACCATTCGACGTACTTCAGAATTGCTGATCCGGTGTTCCCACCAGATTCGGGCAATGTTCCTAGGCGAAACGACCATCGCACTTCTACGTTCATCATCATCATCACCACCATCATCATCGTCATCATCATCAGCTGTAACAACCGCGTATTTGTCGTAAAGTGGTTGTAGCTGCTACAGTTTCGTTTACCAGTGATTTGGGGAAGTGGTGTAGGTATCTGCGCATCGGAGGCGGGAACTGATAGATTGGTGCGTTAATACAGTACTGTCAATGGACCATTAATTTGTGGAATGGGAAGGGCGCTGTGCATTAACGACGATAGCTTGGGTGCACTAGCGCCATCGACGATCTTCATCCGCCTCTGTCTCCCATTCCTTCAGGGGTCTAAACCACAAAATCGGTTTCTGACCGCCAAAACGCCTGATTTGTTCTTCAGGGAAGCATTCCATTTAAAATGTCACGTGTCCAAGGTTTACTTATTTAATTTCATACACTATGCCGCTAATCTGTCCCTTGGAACCATGTAAACTGGTGGATTAGGCAACCTATGAGACGCATATTATATCACTGTTTGTCATTGGCAACCGCTTTACAAAGAGGTGACGTTAGGACCAGTCCTCCCACAGCTTTGCTAAAACAACCCAGTTAGATACAAGCCCTTGACTGGGGAATCGGCAGGATCCGTGGTTATTCACAAGGACTATCTTGAGTGTGCATCAGCAGTTAGACGACTGTCCCGAGAGTTGGTCCAGACCCAGTCACAGACTCGTCAGGAGCAACGAAACTGGGACGTAAAACGAGGGCATCCCCTTTTATTTGATGTTTATCCAAGTGCCTAGAGCTAACATTGTTTTCTTCGTAATTCAATAATCTCATTTTGTGGTCCTAAACTAATGAGTGCTACAACTAAATTTGAGCTAACATTGCTTGAATCACTTAAATGCAAGTTCATTAAGTGTCCAGAAAATTCAAGCCACGGATGATTCTCAACTTGTGGATAGGGAGGTTTAAAGAACCGACAACAATATGCGGAGGTTTTGACACCACATCTTTCAAACGGCTCATGGTCGATAGATTTCCGTATAGCGAAGATCAGAAGTTGTTCAGCCATACCATTATATAACAGCCTGGAAACTACAGACACTTGATGTTAAATGAAGTCTTTACCGCACTTCCTAGAATTCTGTTTGGCCCACGACCTGTCTCAAGTGTGATTTACTTTCCTCAAACTTGTCCCTTCTCGAAATGGTTTCACACCTGCTCATTAGTTGTTTTCTCACTGAGGAGTATCAAATCGTACAGTTGTATGAATGACTTTACTCAGTTCTTCATCCCACCGGGGCCACTATTAAAAAAACTCTACCTCAGTAGACTTCCTTTGAGAGGTGTGCAGGAAACGGAATTGCAAGGACCAACTCAGGGTTGAAGCGGAACTGATATCTGGGTGAAAGTGATTAAGTGCGGTAAACTGGAAACCCTGTCACTGTGGACTGGCATACAAAAGTGAGCCGTGTGCATCCCCGATCCGTATAAACCCCAGAGAAATGCGTTTACCTAATGTCTACCCTGAAATTTCAAAACTGTACACAAGAAGACAAATTTGTATCTGAAAAAGCAACCTCATGATGTTGTGTAGGAGACCCGAGTGACTGTGCGTATTAACGTAGATCACGTGCGGCACTGGTGTGAACTAGATTTTGGCTATTAGTGCACGATAGGCTTTACACTCATCGAAACAGGTGATGTATAGACAAAAAGACTAAATGTTTTAGAGGACTTTGCTAGCCGATGCATCAGCAGTCATTTGGCACTATGATGAAGCATAAATGCCTGAGTAGGGGCAATCTTTTGTTTTTTTTGCCCGGCACGCTCTTACAATAGCCTGGTCCCACCATACAGAAACACCTGTGGGACCAAACCAAATCCATTGCCACTTGGGGATAGTCCATTGATCCATCCTGTTCATCGACAGTTTGTCACAAAGAGGGGGAAAGAACAAAAGCCCAAGAGTGTGTCACTTGAGTGTACCTAGTAGGGATCCTCACAGAAAAACCTCCATGAGTTTTTTCGTGAGATAAGAGTCGGCTCTATCTCCGGATCCTTTAGGCAAACATTGTAAAATATCCAAAGCCGGCGAATCCATATTAGGTTCCAAATACTCGTCCCCTTATCAAATCAACCAGAAACGTTTATCTTCCCCTGCCTCTTGCTATTCTCGGGAAGTGGTTTAGTATATAAGAATATCGAGAACAAATCAGATTTTTCTGATGCTATTTGATCACCCACATGCGACATTGTTTTTGCTGCACGTAGACTTTAGGATAACTTAGCGAACAAAGAACCGCAAGCCTAATCATGAAGAGCCTGTTGATGTGACGCTATGGTGTATTGGCTGAGGTTGCGCCATCACTGGTTTGACTTAGTAATCGACAAGTAGAAACGCATCTAATTGATACGGCATTCCCGTCGCTAGTTCAGGACCTCAAACGATCTCTGCATCAATTTCCGAGCAGACTACCAATGAAGGATAAAACTGGTACCACCGAAAGTGTCTCCTTGATATTACTGTGTGCCTATAGTACATTTTCTTTTGTTGTGAAATGTGCACTACAAACACCGGTCTCAACGTATCGAAAGACCTGCTCTAACTAGAACTCCGTGTCTCGCTGTTTGTAAAAATCGGCTAAAATTCTCAGACAATATTTCTCCGTCTGAAGTGTCATTCTTGAGATTTCACTCCAGTGTAGGTAGTACAGCTATTGTACAGCGACAGCTGACGAGTCCAAGTAATTTCATAAAGCCATGCACTGTACAGTTTCCTGATACCTACATTTGTATGTCAATGTAATGGAATGTCCAGTATTTGTTTTGAGGGTAATAACAGTGTAGACATTAGCTCTGAGACAAATCTGTACAGTCCGACGCGACTGGAAACGAAAGAAGTAATTCAGTAAAGACCCTGACAGACGTTTGATGGAACCAATTGGAAGCAGGAGATCCAGCGGAGCACTTATTGTGAAGAGTTTTTCCCGTATTTTAAAGAAGTTCACTGATTTTTTCGCTCAAAAGTACATAAATGTTCTGTCATTCGGACCGTTCTTGGTTTTTTTCGCTGGCTAAAATATCCGCGAGACTATGACGAGTCTGACTACTGTGAATTTACTTGATCAATGGGATCTCGCCCAAGTGTATTCTGCCATTGTGTGTGGCTAACGTGGTTGAAACGTCTAATAATGAGACAAAGCCACTGGCCTCCTTTTTACTCATTTCTACTCATATTTTCCGCTTTTAGTCGTTGGTTTGTTCACTGAGTTAAACGAATCGAATTCCAACGTTTCATCATCAATTTAGATGATGTCAATCGCTCACTAACAGCGTTCTGATGATTCCATCTCGGTTGGTGTTGGAGAGTTCGCCAGAGTCTTATAGGGCGCTGCAGCCGTTCGCCGTGACACTCATCTGTCGCCTGTGGCACATATTCGGTAAGAATTGAAGTTCTGCTCGTCATAAAACCAGCCAGCCACTTCAGCGTCTAAGCTGCCCACTGCAGTCTCTCTACTCTAACTATCAAAACGTAGGACGAATCCAAGTACTCTAGTGTTTGTTTTCTTGCACTCCTAATCGATTGGATCGGGGAAGCTTAGCTCAGAAGATGTTTCTGAAATATACTCACTGGTGTGATTGATCAGATTTCCAGATCGAGATTTCCAGTGCTGTTGAAACCAGTTTTGTGTCTTGGAAAGGTCGGTACCATTTGTATGATACCGTCTACATGAATCACGCTGGTCCGGAAAACTAGGGTGTGGCTGTCTGCCGAAAGCCAAACTTTGTGCCTTGTGCCATGATCTTGTGTTTCGCATCACCTCAATCGATTGTGAAGATAAAATAGGAGTAAAAAATAGTTGTTCAGCTGTAGCACCCCTTCGGTGCCTAGCTGTCATACCAGCGGTACGAGGCACAATGGTTAGGATACTTTCAGGTTGTCCAAACCTAGACAGGAAAAGTCGAGATGCTGAGGTTGGGTTCGAATAGCGGAAATTCCGGTCTACTGAGCTATCTTGATCTGGATTGTGAACATGTCCGAGTTAGTATGTGTTTCAAAATTTGTTTGCTACACTCAACGACGCTGATTAGAGAAACTGTACCATAGACGATGCCGCATGCATGAGACACATGCGACCACTTGAACGCCCTGTACCCAATGTTTACCCATGAGAACGAGATCTGAGCCAACAAGGAGCCACTTATGTCTGCCTGGTGGATGTTTTCAAACTGTGCTGTTTAGCAATCGGATTTGCCAGCGCAGAGCCACTTCTGACAACTTTAGAATGCTCATGGTTTTACGGAAGCTTTCTTCGAAGACACTGGAGAAATCTGGATGTGGACTAAGATGCATCACCAATCAGCCCGACCCACATCACACCTGCATGGTAGCTAGCCATCGTTTGAACTGAGTTGGTTGGTCAACGAATGTCACCTCGAAGGCTCGGCACCCCTAATTATCCAGTGGCAAAGCATGTTGGCCGCTTTTGATCAGTGAGTTGACTATCACAGATAGTCAACTCTAGCATCATCACTGATTTAACTGTCTCATAGTCACAAAAACCAAGGTGGCTTTGATAAAATTATCTTACCCGCCGACGGACCACTGATTGTCCGCTGATGGCCGACCGACCAATGCAACCAGCGCAAACACGACCTTGGGAGCTGCACCTCCAGGTCGTTCTTACCCCAGATCCAACGGTCCAGACGATAACTCGGCGCTCTGGCTAGAAGATATCATTCACTGAAATGACGAACTCTATTTCGTAGCTTTCTGCATGCGATTATGCCTTGTGCTTTCTGGCTTTCGGACAGTGTCCGGCTATCGACGCTTTGTTCCGCCAGGATTCCGTTTCATCAGGCAATACAGAAGCCATCCTGAACTCCTCTTTTATTCCATCTGGTACAACTATTCCAGTCACCACAGGTAACTGAATAGAGTCATGATCTCTATTCCGTCACAATGCTCCTGTCGGAGAGCTTCCGCCCCTGTCTTTCAAGTGGCCCAGTTAGAGCCGTGTATCCACGCCAGGTATTGCATTTGAAAGCTACTCAACTGCATGGTTAGCGTCTCAATGTCGTACAAGAGGACAGATAGGACCGTCGTGTTGTAGGCGGACCGTGAACTTCGGTTCCTCTACACCTTTCCAAGTTTTCCACCCCAGCTTTAAAAACACGTTATTTCTGCTCACAGTCAGCGGTCAAATCACCAGAGAGTGCGCTTTCTTTAATGAGCATCAAACATGAAGTGACATGCATGTGTAGATTTAATGACTTCTAAGAGACCCCTACGTGATTCATTACTTACATTTCGCAACTATATGTACTCATTGCCAATAAAGACCATCTAGCTACTGTTTCTGTCTAAAATACACAGCTATTTAAATGGTTGAAACCAAAAATAATACAGCAGCAAAGTCCAGCACTTACTGCTCCGCAGGCCCCAGCATTCGGCTTCCAAAGTGAATACTTTCTAGTAATCAAAAGACTACTGTTATGATCGTTTCGGTGAACAGCACAGTTTTTGACCCGATAAGTCATTGGACTGTTTCAGTCACGTGATTTGTTCATTGCTAACTGGCACCACCAACAAACGAGATGTCAGACCTTGCTCGCGATAATAAGCTCGGCGTTACTGCAAAAGGTAGTCTGAGAAAAGACCAAGCTCGACGTTAATTGGGGTATGGCAATCATTAATGCCAGGTGGGTTCTAGTTTGTGGATGAACTCAATCGCTACCATGTACCGGAGAAAACAGTAGATTTTACATCAAGTTTTCCTGAGTTTTTATGGAGATCTCTCCCTTGAAGTGATCCGATTGTCAACAACTTTGTTTCATTAGGCTCAAAATCTTCAATGATTTGTGTGATCTGCATGACAATGCGTTTATCATGAACCATATTTATGTCTAGTGGGTGGATGTAGGATACCCGCCCGAACATACGGTGAACCGTTGAAGAGACATGTACCATCGCGCGCTCCATGTCTTCCGCTACTTGCTTTGGATGGTAAAAGTTGGAGGAAAACTTATAAAACAGCTCCAGCACAAACAGTAGGATGTACTGTTAGCTGAGAGTTCCACATCCTGCTCAAGAAGTTTCCCCGTTTTCCGGAAAACAGTGATAAATTGTGACTTGGAATATGATAAACACAGTGGAGAGACCGAAATAATCCAGTAAGTTCTAGGTCATGAATGCAACACATCAGACACAAGCCGGTATGATGCCAGTGTACACTGTTCCCGTTGTACAATAGTCCCACGTGATGCGAAGTGTCGGATTCTGATCAGCTGGCCCTAAGATAGAAAGAAGATCATCAAAATACAACTACCAGTATCACTACTCTATGTCGGATCGACCGCGAATCATTTTGTGTGTCATCTATCATGTGTGAGTGGTCCTCAGCAAACAGATATAACCCGGACAATGCCAGGGAATAGGTCACCACTGAGAAATGCTAAAAGACAGCTGTTCGCTTGTCAGACAGCTAGTACAAGCAGGTTTACGGAAATTTGACCTGTTGGGAAACCGTAAATAATTTTATGGGTACAAGGACCAGCGTGACCGGTAGAGCAGGACTGAGAAAGCCGCATTCCGTAACAAGCTTGAAGAACTTTTCTGGCCGGAATAAATGCTTCGTAGTACAACAACCAAAGTCTGGATAGACATCGTTTGCCGAAGAGAGTGTGGTTTTCCATGTCCAACTCAGAGTGGCGAAGCAGAGAGGGGGGAAACCGTAAATAATTTTATGGGTACAAGGACCAGCGTGACCGGTAGAGCAGGACTGAGAAAGCCGCATTCCGTAACAAGCTTGAAGAACTTTTCTGGCCGGAATAAATGCTTCGTAGTACAACAACCAAAGTCTGGATAGACATCGTTTGCCGAAGAGAGTGTGGTTTTCCATGTCCAACTCAGAGTGGCGGAAGCAGAGAGGGGGCCAACCTTTGATCTGGCAGAGGGGTATGAAAGAAATCACGAAACGTTTGGTTACTGTCGGTGCTTCTCGCCTTCCAGGATGGGGACCGCGTGATCCTCACTGCGCCTGGTTGGAGGCGCTGTAAGTTATGGTTACCCATCGATGCCAGTGGCGATCTTGTTATCAGTTTCCATCCGGATTGCCTGAATGAGTGTTTGGAGGTATAGATACCTCTGACTGATTGTGGTAAGCTAGCACTTAGTTCTTTTCCCGTCCAACTTTATTCTCTTCTTCACAATATGGCTTTCAAATACATGGTTGTACGGCAGTGAAGCATCGCTGTTGATCACTGATGTGATACTCTCGATGATGATGATGATGTTGATGATGATGATGATGATGAAAGTCTGGACGCGGCGGTTCTTAACTAAAGCGTACCTAGTAGGATCGGAACTGCATACCCTTTACCAGTGAGAGATTTGCTTGTAAATGAGACCCGTACATGTGTCGTGTCATCTGCGTATTGTTATTTTGAATTTCGACCTTGGGGCCAAATAATCCAACTGTAGCTAACTTACTGTTAATTACATCGTTGAGGCAACATAAAAGACGATTACGCAACCTGAGCCCTAGCCCCATAAGGATATCATCAAAAGGCAGACTGGCATTCCGGTATCAACAAGTGAGAATCTGGTTTTCTCTAGGAATGAAAAGTTAAATACGGAAGACATAAATGGAACAGTGTGCTTTTTTCAAAACCTCCAGGAACAACAGTGTGGTTGGATCGCCAAATCACGGTGGTCAGTCAATAATGGTTATTAATTCCGCCCTTACCAGTGAGCAAGCGAAGATGGCTCCCGCGACCATAGAGGAAACTGATCGGTTTGACAACTTCTTGTTACACAAACACCAGAGTGGGGCCACAGACAAGTTCATGTTTAACCTTCTGTCGTCACAGCTTCACTTTCGGTATAAACACCACTGAACTGAGGTGGTTTCAACCCGAATCGCTGTTTCATTCAAGATGCCAAAAGTACGAAGTACCGATGAATACATGCTGCCGACTAAGAAGTTACACAACCATACAACATGGATATTGGAGTCTTTCGGTCATCATCATCATTATTGTCAGCTGTAATAACCGCATACTCGTCGTACAGTGGTTTGGCCCTAAAAGATCAAAGCCTGAATATACCCTGAAGACACTGCCTGTTCTCTATACCCAACTGGTTTAAACCTACAAAAAAATCGTAAGCTTCAGACACTTTATGCACCAACCTGAGAGTATTTCCTACTCATCTAAAAAATAAATCCACTGTCGATTTAGTGGACGAATAAAAATTCCCCTTGTAAGGATCTAACACACATTACGCCCATCAAAACTGTAGACAAATGAGATATCGCCTTCTGACAGATCAGCGCTGGCACTGCCGTGTGACCCTCGGCTAGAAGGCTTCGCCTTGATGGGGAGAAAAAAATTAAGGGAACACCCGAGGACACCGTCCGTTACCCAAGAAATAACGCAGAAGTCTGTTTACATGACTGTGTTAAATCTGTGACAAAAACGTCTTTTGGTGACTGATTTGTGTAGACGTTTTGTCCTGTACATGAAGCCAATCTATGCTGTAGAGTGCTCCTTTTCAGCCTAGATTGGTTTCACTTACAGGAGGAAATCTCCACAATAATCCCAAATCCCCTAACATTACCAACACCGATTTGTGTGCTTTTTTGCGCAGTAACAACGAACAGCTTTGGATGCCCAGGTGATGGTGACCAGTCAGCTCATTATGATTAGCTCATTACCGAACAAGTTACCGAGGTCAAATTTACCTCGAGTTCAGTTTGCCAAAATCAGCCGTATTGTTTTGACACGCTGAATCACTGTCATTTTTCAGCAACGGTTGTACAAAGTTGCTGTGCATCCAGGATAGTCCTCCAGGTTATCTTTCCGTCGCGGGGACATCCTGGTGCTGTTTTGTTGAGAGAGGTGTGTAGTTCTCTGTGACTAATGCAATGCTGATGAGAACGGATTACTAGACTGAAGAGCCATTCAAGAACTGTAACCCAAAACTTCACGCAAGCGATCGTCGACTTTGCCTCAGCGTCTCCAACCAACGATGAAGCACTTCTCAAATTTTCACAAGGAAACTACTTACTGAAAACTCCTCGTCAGCTCACGCCCGGTTTCGCCCTTCTTGGGGCTCATCAGGTAGGTGCAGTCCCCGAGTTTCCGCTAACCTTATGTTCTACTTGAATATTCTTCTCAATTTCCGACTGTAATTCGGGATACTCACTGCCTGTTTCTCTCTCCCTCTCTACGCCTACACATTAGTAAACCAAACATCCAGTTTGGAAATGAGGTGGGAAATTCTAGGAAACTGTGTTTGCACCCTCGATCCTAATAGTTGGAAGTGTCAGTATTCCGCACTGGTAACCGGGAAAGTGTAACAGCCGAAATGCGCGGTTGTTTAGTTCGATTTTTTCATCCACCAGTGGACGGTGATTAGACAAGTACGCGAAGAAGCCAAGCATCAAGACCACCGTTGAGGTAAGTGTTCCGATAAGTGTTCCGGCGAAATTAAGTCAACATGTGACCCTCCGAAACAGGTACGCGTTAGTTGCCAGAAGATATATCGACCAAACCCCCTTGCAGAACATGCACGACGCCACTCTGTTCACAGCTACTTCATTCAAAGGGCATACCTTTTGAGAAAACTGTTTAAAGCCCTCCTTCCAAACTCAAGAAGAGAAACCCTCGAGATGGGTAGCTCATGATGGCGTTCTCCAAATCACTGTTTCCCAAAAACAACATGCCTAGGGGATGTTCAGTACCCGATTGTTCAATAAACACTTTCCGCTCACATTTACGCACTCACAGACAAAACCGGCAGTGGTATGCTTTAAATGCATTTGAAAAATCGATTGACTGTACACCAAAAGGTGAATGAACGTTTCAATCACGTGACTTTGAGCCATCAGAAAGTTGTAAATTCTGTGAATCATAAGACTGACAAAACAATCTTGTTGACTGACAGTCTCATTCAGGATGTATACCAAATTGTGCTGGAAGCCCACATACACAAAATATAGACGACCGCCAAGAGTTCGGTTTCAAGGTGCTTATTTCAACGTTTGAACGTTGGAAAATTGGAAGCTATTAAAGTTGACACAATTGCTTGCAGACTAACCACCAAACGCTTCAGAAAGTCGGCTCAACAGCTAGAAAACATGTTAAGGTAGGCTGAATGAGCGTACTGGTATTCCACCGTTCACTGGAGCCCTCACTTCACGCCATGTCAGACAGTGCGTACTTCTGAATTATGGGTCACAGAACATAACTAAACAGATACATCATATGCTTTCATTTGTCATTCCGAACCAGATTTCAGTACATGCATCGGTTTTTCACATATGACGGGAATGTGGTTATTGCTGAACTCTGTCCGGAAACAAGGCAAAACATGACTCCTAGATATCAGGGTTCGCACCAATACATCGAGGATCAGGTAATAGGGCTTAAGGTAGCTCAGTAGGTAAAGAGCTGACTTAGTGGCCGAAAGATCCGTGATTCGAACCCAACCTCTGTACCTTATGTTTGCGCTTGGGCAACCTGGAAGTAACTCACCCCTGAGCTTGTTGGTCGCATAGCAGCTAGTCACGGAAATGCCTCGATAATTGATTTTCGCTTGAAGCAGTCGATCGTTGGGGCTCATTAGCATTAGTCCACAACGCATCGATTTGAAATTATCTGGAAGAATGCTACCTATTGGTTGGCGAGCTCGGCGGCCACTGGATCAGCAATCGTCAAGGGTAAGTGAAACACCAGTATTCCGGCACCCTGTCAAAAGGTACTGGAAAGCGCGAGAACTGACTGTAGTTAACCGGGTCTGATCACACCGAATTACAAACTCCACCAAAAACCGGTTCATTTTTAGAGTTCAGTCGTGGATTTGGTGTCCAAAAGCCAGCAGTATTTTTACCTGAACAATACGTTCGATTAAATTGGGGGAAATTTACGAAGATTCTGATCAAGCTAGTTAGCTTTTAACTTCCGAAAGCTTGGTTGCCCTCGATTGGACAATACTGAGAGAAGTAAAACGAAGGTTCCTCCATTAGGAGTCGCTCGGGGGATGGGTAATGAACTTCAAAACACCAGTAGGATAAGCAGGTCATTATAGCTACCTGCATCACCTCGGGATAAGTCGAAAATACCTCCCGGACAACTAACTGACGTAGACGAGGAAATTAGAGGACACAAAAGAAAACGGATGGTCCGTACAATTCATCGGTTAAATTAAATTACAAATGTCATGAGATGTAGAAACAGCTAGATAGACGGTAAAGTTAAACTTGCAGCTTCAATTAGTTTTCATGTTAGAGCTTGCTTTTTCCCAGACAAATATGGTCTGTCGGACTTACTTTGCGATTATATGTTGTCGACTTTGTGGCCGTCGCGTTCTCAAAACTTGTCAGTGTGTGTGAGTCGCTGATCCTTCTCCGCCTACAGTCAAGTTGTTTCCTCATATGTAGACTACCCAGATCTCGTCTGCCCAAAGACGCATTGTCGAAATAGGTATCATTCGTAGCTGCTTTGTCAAGCTGTTTATTGTGTGCGTGGGCGTGTCCATCCACCAATCTAGGTTTCGGTACTCGGGGTGGTTTGAACGGCACACCTGGTTCAGAAGCAGCTTTCTGATGACCGTGCGTTGATTTTCTGGACGATTTGGATGGATCATTCGACATTTTTTTATTGACACTGGTAACTTGGTACGTACCCTTTGTTCTGTTGATTGTGATTCTAGTAGGTGGACCTCCGTAAAAGGATCTGATCCGTTCGGAAGCCTTTTCCGGTGTTGCCATATATCCCAATGTCAAATATGTGGCGCCAAGTTTGGCGGGTGTCAGTTGAACCAGCGCGGCTCAGTTCTTGATGTAAAGGAAATTGAGCGTACTTATGAGTGACTTGTCTGTCCTTTTCAACCCAAGGTTATTCCTCGGTGGATGGATGATGTCTTGAGACTCACAGTCAGAAGGTTGTAGAAGTCTTGATTTAACTGTTGAATCGTAGATGGTAACGTTGTATTCCGGTGTTGTGACTGATAGCGCGATTAACGCCACCTTAGCTGATGAGCGTTAAGTGTGCAAGCAGTGGTTGCAAGACTGTTTGTTTTTAGTGAGTGGTTACCATTGAAGCGTGTACTTCAGCACCATGCGGAGTACGACACAACCACACACTACGAAATACGTGTGCTGCGATGCAGTCATCTTGCATAGCCACCGTACGTCGATTGATGTACAAAATCAGCAGCAGGGGGTCAGGCGATATGGCTGAAACCAGTCTAACAACATCGAAGATTACTAGATCCCCCCAGGAGGAGTGCACAACGTCAGTACTGACTCCCTCTTGGAGTGGAATATACTTGATCGGATGTCAGTGTTTCAGTCGCAGAAAACTGTATTAAAGTCATAAAATCTTGTAGAGTGGACTCTTAAGATATTATCCGGTGGTATTTGCCTGCTCTCGTCTACCGTTGGCGCAATCAACAGTGAGCTCCTCGAATCCCTGTCGACATTTTCCGTCGTAGCTTCAAGTCGAACCTGTCTACTCACTCACGGAGGTAACTAAAACCTGCAAACGTCACTCTGACCCTTATGTATCCATCTACTTGATCGCCGAGATGATATAATTCAGTGTGAATTTTCATGAAGAGATGACCACTATTTAGTTGTCAATTTCGGGTTCAGGTGGTCGAAGGTCACCTACTGGAGCAAGATTTACTCACTCCCACGGGTACATCTTTGGTTCACTTGTTAGTAAGATGTCCAGTGTAAGTGTGTAGTGTGCGACAGACAACTCTCGACAGCTGAATACTATCTGCTGTGAAGGATCAAAGATGTTGTCTTTGGGGGAACGAGGTTTAGTCTGATGCCTATTGTCATGTATTGGTAATGAGAAATCGTTTGTTCTGAATTTGAGACCAAGTCTCACTTAGTCCGGCAATTATTTGTCAGATTGCGCCCTAAAATTCACGCTGCTTATGGTTACTGCATGCTTCCTGGAATAACGTTTTTTATCGGTTTGCTGTAGTCGGTCAGATGCGTGATCTTTATTAGAGTCGGAAGTTATCGATTAGGGAACGAACTACTAGGGTCGCTTGCCATAGTTCCTCACAGAGGACTTCTCTTAGGATATTGTCGTAATTACTTTAAATCTTGCTTGTTTCCATCTCTCGGATGAAAACTAACAATCACCTGGATAAACTTGGAGAAGATCGACGTTGAAGATACTTGAGAGTTTTCATACCACACACTCATTGATCACGTCTGGTGGGAACATCTGGTTATCAGTGCAAATGGTCAAGGGACAAGGAACTCTCCCATAATGGATAAGTTACCCGTGCTTCATAGTTTACACTGGTTAGGACATGTATTTCGCATACTAGGGGAATGCTGGTTTCACAGGACACTTTTTGCCCAGTTCTGTGCAAAAGACCAAAGGTAGACAGCCTACGACCTCTCAACGAAGTATGAAAGCAGCACTGACTGGTAAACTCTGACTCCCTCCCTGGACGGGACCACAGGAGTCAACTAATCACTGGTTAATGGATCTGACGGACATAACTCATTCACGCAGTCAGTGGTGCTCCTGCTTCAAGGTCATCGTTTTCGATATGTTGCTGCCATTTTCATTCTCTCAGAGCAACACACAATACGATTTAACTGATCGTACCGGAGCTGAAACAGGTGGAACCAACGTATGATCGGTACACAGTTTTTTGCTGTTAAACTTGACTCAGCATCCAAGACAGTGGGTCCTGATTCAGTGTTTTTTAAGCAAAATTCTGATGTTTTCTTCTTAATCTGGATGATTTCAGTGAATTCCACATGTCCAGGCAAGCGAATGGGGATACGGAGCATGATGATGAACTAACCTTCGGGGTCACCGAAGTGACTTGACTCGATCACGTGGCATCTCCAATATGTGCTTAGTTCGGTCGATATAATTTTCCACTGCTACGGCAGTGAAGCATCTGTCTTGAACACTGAAGTCATACTGTCGATGATGATGATAATGATGATGAATTTTCCACGTACTTGTCTATCTGTTCCTATAGAATAACATCGGTCTACTCTGACGGTATAAGTATCACCACGGATGCCGGTACATTGAGAGAAACGACCGACATCGGACAGCAGAGGAGAATCCATCATCAAGCTAGACATCTACTATAGAATCGCTTACTAAATCCCACACCTCGGACCTCAAACAGACCATATAAGATTGGCAAATTAGAGTTCCGTCTGATTAATGGGTTGCTTCACTTACATATCGTGGTGAGTACCTTGTTATAGCGTTTCGATGAGACTTCGCCCCTAACTGGACAGGATACATTTGCCGTTGAACCGGATGCTACTGAGGCTTTCTGTTTCTCTTCGAGTTCACATGCACAGCGTCTAAAACAGCGCCGACTAAAACACCATCATGTTTCTATGGAATTCGGAATACACCATCCTTTACCTTCATGTCCATTAGACTGCTTCTGGGCGGCAAACTGTCTGAGTGAGTCCCAGCAGGCGTGGGACTTCATGTGCAACAGACATTGGATACTTTTCATTATCTGCACACAAACCAGCAGACTGCATATTTGAATGTGAAACCCGGAAATATCATGTTAACCAGATAGGATCGAGCCACATTGATTGATTTCGGGTGGTCTGTGGATCTAAACAAGAACTCCGTACTCAAAAAGCCTGTCGGAAACACAAGTTATGCTACTCCCGAAGTGTTTGGTAGATGTCCCTATAGTGAACCTCCCGTCGATATTTTCTCTCTGGGTTTTACACTGCTAACGTCAGCCACTGGCCAACGCTGTTGGTCACGCGCGAATCCAGACGTGGACCCAGAGGTCGATAATCGTGATTTGCAGGCTGGGCCCACTTTCTCGCGTCTATCCCAAGACTCAGCAAACTTTCTCACCCCTGTTTTAGCTCACCGACCATCCGAGAGCCTCAGGGTTGATAGCATTTGGTCTCACCCATGGTTTCGACGAGGACTTTTGCGGCGGCTGACTCCCGTTGCTCCGCCACCGAGAGCTGTATCCACCAACCGTGAGACACATCGAGAGAATCTTGAATCTTTGGTACCCTATAGAGCTTTATTGCCTCCTGAGGCTCCAGTTCCCTCATCACAACGCGTTTACACGTGTCTAACGCAGGCGGACCCGACTGCCAACGATCTGCGTTTGTCGCAGCCCGCTGATATGACCAGCATTCTGATGGTTAGTCAATCCGCCAATCCGGACTTAGATTTTTCTGTTTGATGAAATGAAATTTTAATTCATATGAAAAATTTCAGCCCAAGGCACTGTTCCAACAGATTTATTGCCAGTTTTAGTGTGCTACGTCCTGGGCTGATGAAAAGTCCATTCGCTTACTGATGCACTTCGGATGGAGTGCAACAGTAGATCTCAAGATCCACACTTACTGAGTGATTGTTCTACAGACATGCCGCCTTTGAGGTACTTCATATTTTAGCTGTATGTATAGGATAACGTGTTCGTGCCGCATACAGGCTGGGTATGACAATACAAGTGTCCAAGCGGGAGCTACGTCCGATGGAAATTCAGGGACCAGGCCTACTCGATGTGCTTCAGGAAGGACGGAGCCAGCAGTAAACTATCCAAAAGTTTCATCTGCATTATCACCAGTTCAATAATTTTTTGCCAGCATGAGTTCGTCTTACTAGACCTGTCAGTTGATGTGATATCACTGTAGTCGAATACTGTTTGCAATGCTGCCTTTGTCGAGGTCGATTTACATCCAATCGAACTCCATCGAACTCAAACGGGCCGAGGTTTTGCTTAAATCGCAGACACTGCCCATCGACAAGTGATGCGCACGATAGTAAACTGCATTCATAACTGTCAGGAGGCCAGCCGCCCTAGTAACTGAACATCACATCACTTGGACAGATGTGTCACGTGCAGAACACGGGCCAAAAGAAGGCATACCCTGATTGGTCAGAATGCCAGCCAATCAGGATTGAGCATCTTTGACTCGACGCTTCTCACCCCCTCTAGCACGACCTTGTGCGGCCTGGTGCAGCATATTCAGTTGCTGAAAAACATCAACTAGAGATTCAGCTGGGTTCCCGGTGAGTGTCCCGCAAAGCCAAGTTTGTTTGAAAATGGGTGCATTTCGCTATTTTCGCTTATTTCGGTCTCAAGTAAAACGTAAGGTTGACGGCACCTACCTGATGAGCCTCAAGAAGGGCGAAACCGGTCGTGGGCTGTCGAAGAATTTTCAGCAATCTTATGAGTAGTTTATTAGACCAAAACACTTTTCAATAGACGCGAAGCGGACTTATGAGAAAACCACATACTACTCGAATGCTTTATCAGTTGCCCCCACCGTTACACCAGAATATTTGTCCCCTTAACGACTAATTTTCTTCGGCCATCAGGTCCAAGGGAAGCTTTCGTATGCTGTCGCTTTCTGGGACTTAGGTAGCCACTGTCTGGCCATCCAACCTGAAAGTTTTGAGTACACAGAACTGTTCTGCATAGGCTTACATGCTATTCTGCATTCCTATATTTTAACATTATTTAGTTTGTGACTGCACCATTTCGGTTTAGACCGAATATTCCAACGACATATTAGTTCAACTGATTGCTCGAGGTAGTCTCACGTACTCAATTAATCCGGGTCATACCTTCAAGAGATTCAAAGACTTTGTGACCCTCTTGATGTTGCCATCCGTTTGGTCGGTGTTTACGGCTCTCGCGTTGCACTCTGGATTGGCATGATCCCATTTCACGGTAAACCAGCAATGGGAACTCAAACATGAAAGTGCAGTTAAGCCGTATATCGAACACATGCAGGGGAAACAGAGTTTGGCAAATCAGTTGAAGCTTTCCAAGCCTACTTTGGTATGCATCAAAATTCACTAGTTAAACCTCAGCGGACTCTCGGTGAATCGGTCATGTAAATTACACTGTTAGAAAGCGATTCACATTTCTGCGGTTGATATTCAAGAGAATGCTGTTGTGACCTTCAACAAATTAGCCAGTAAACGTGCGTACATCAATTTTCACAACTTAGTTGCCCATAGAAAGCAGGGTCGACCAGGCTAGGCATACCAAGCTAATTGGTACCAATATTTTCTCACCATCTCAACTAAACTCTTGGAAAATTGACCAGGCATCAACAGAGTGAACCCTTCGAAGATCTTTGAAGTCAGATTGAAATTTGCGGCAACTTCACGTGATGTATTTACATCAAAACGTGTTACAATTAACAGGAACTGAAGAGCCATGTGACGTGGGCTTTTTAACAGGTAGGCTCATATGAAGTTCACCTGACCCCTTGAACAGCAGTCGACGCATTAAGTGAAAGAAACAGTGCTACCTACTACACGTGAAACAATAAGTGAAGGCTGTTTATGCATCTAAGCAGATATGTCTACTTTCGACATCACCAGTTGCTGGTAGTAAACACTGAGTCAACGTTTTAGTATAATGTTATAACAAAGTCGCACGTTGGTTGTACCAAGGAATGATGAAACATTGCGGTGAGCAGCCTGCTTCCATTTGATAGCCTTAACCTACGTTGCTGTGAGACTGTCTCAACTTAAACTTAGAACCGTTGTTGTTAGAGTCACTAGAACCCATCGGGGGAAGTAATCAAACATGTGACTAATTTAGACTCAGGCGGGGCAGGATGCTGCGCACTCGCCTAACACACATATTCAGTTCACGTGACCTGTTGTTGAGGAGCTTCTTGACTGACATTTCTCAGATTAAGACCTAGCGGTTTAGGTTGGGTGTTTACTTTACATGGCAGTACTGATGGTGCCTCTGGCATTTCTCCAGAACGATTTTCTGAATAGCAGCCCTAGCAATAAGAGCTTGAACGATCTGTCGTTACCCAGTGTCCGCTTTACATCCTTGTTTGCTCACCTCTCAGTAGTCTAACGACCAAGAAAACTGTTCTTTCGGAAGTAAGTGTGGAGGCTGTTGTCATGCTGTTGTCGGTGTTCCTTCAGGAACTGCTTGATATGGCAACCACTTCACAAACGCCAGGCGCTAAACATGAATCGATACCATGTCCACCTGGAGACCAACTAGCCTTCTATTCCTTGTAGAGATGTTGGGAACCTTGAATCACTGTAGTCTCCTCTGCGAACTCTAATTATTCGGTAATTTAGCGAAATACACCCATTTGAAAACAAATTTAGTTTTGCGAGAGACTCACCGAGAACCCAGCTGAATGTCCGTTTGTGATGTTTCCAGGCAACTGAACGGCTGCACACGGTCGCCTCATATTCCAGTTGCTACGAGATGTCGCGATACTTTGGTACTTTGTTTTAGTCCCTGCGTCCTATTCTTACTCGAGGTAATTCATTCCCTCGCGTTTAAAACAACTCCTCTCTTCTTTTGGGTTTCTTGGTATCAGACATTTTCTAGGCTTTTATTATCTCCGCCTTAATAATGGTTTTCTTAACTGAGGTGAATGTCGAAGGCCCACACTCTTCAATTACTTCCATTGAAGGGTAGATCCAAATATTGCTGAGCACACCAGTAACGCTTGACAGTATAAATCCGATCAAGAATTTAGCCGTACCTCATCAAAAGTTGAAAACTCATAAACATAAGCTCGACTCTCAGATGAAGAAAATTTATCGACTGCTAATCAACTGGCCTCTGACGATTCAGGTGTGAATACAATCTGTTGAGGGATGACATAGTTATGTCAAGACTCCATATCATACATAATGAGACTTGGCATTCTGAGGAGATTGGATATTCTGTACCGTAGATGCGCTCATCGGGTGAATTTTAATTTTCCTCTGAGCTACACTACTAACATTCTATAAGTAGTTTAGATGAAAAGCTGAATGTTCCGATGGGACGCTTTAGCGCTCTGAACACCAGTCTCGCAACTGTACTTTACACTTTGGAGGTGTGAACGCACACCAAACCGTGCGGCAAAGTTATTTAGGTTATTTAAAATGGTTTGCATCTGGGAATGATGTGGACCAAGGAGAGCAATATCGTCTGCATACTCACTGTCTATAAGGGAACGTCCCGGGAACATTTCGACTCCCGAGGTTTTAGGGGCAGGCTGAGAAATTACAAGTAGCATAACAAAAACAAAGTTGAAGAGGAAAGGGGAAAGAGGACAGCCTTGTTTTACACCACCGGACGTGGTGAATTCAGGCGAGAGGTTTCCGTATACTCGTATGCGCCCACAGGATCAAGAAATAACGACCGACATGGGACGTGTGAAGTAGTGGCATTATTCAAGAATCTGTCTCAAGATAAAGATATGGTTGATGCATCCTCGGCCACGATGAAACGCAGCTTGATTCTCTGCAAATAATCGACCAAAAATAATGCCAGAGAGCACCTTAGATATGCCAAATACCAGGCTCATATCACGGTGGCTTTTTTATGACGTACTGGTGCTCTTCTTGAACACTGGGTTGACAGTCTAGGCGTTCCATTCTACTGAATCTCCTGCAGCATGGTTGTCGAACTGTTCAACAGGACCTCGCCAACTTCTTTGAAAAGCGCCGGGTGCAGACCATCCGCGTTAGATGTCTTATCGCGCTTCCGGATTGATATCTCTTGCTGGGTCTTGGTTGATGATTGCGGGTTAGTGTCGATATTCCATCCAGGCCCACCGAGTTATTCCGGTGGTTGTACTGAAAGAGATCAGCTGAAATGTTCTCAGAAGTGTTCAGCCCATCGCTCAAGAAGATTATTGAGAAATTACATTGCTATTCCGTCCTTTTCCTATATTTTTTCTTTGACACCTTCCGTCTTCTGGCCAGTTGATTGAACCGGGACGCAACTAGTGCCTGCAGCGAAAGCCTACTGCATTTCCTGGGCCATCATATTCGCTAGGTGCTGATATGGTCTTCCTGGCAGCAATAAGATCGGCTGATCTCGATTATCTCCAGTGTTCATTTACTCAAGTCAGAAAGCCTGGACAAACAGATGTGACAGCCGAAAGCATAGCGTCTTTTACTCACTTCCACTCAACATTCAAGCAATCTTCGTCATCCATATGGCTATACGTTTAAAGTGGTTTTTTAGCTAGATAGGCTCTCAAATTGAGACCTGCCGAAGTTGATGGACGGAGCTGCTCTTCTTTGGCACGCGTGATGCTGACGGAAAGTGGACTGATAACCGTGCCCAGACGATGGCATGATCAGACTCAAGTTGCGTGCCCCAGAAGGAACCACAGTCCCTAACTGAGGCTCTGCGTCGGTAAGTCATATCCACATTGTCCTACTGAGTCCATGAATACCTTGTGG